CAGCGTGTATTGCTTTCTTGCTTGTATAAGCGCTTTGCCGCGCTGCTCAGCAAGTAAAACTGTTTCCATGCACTGCCGCCTGGGCCGCTACGGATTCAGCGCTCCATGTCTGTGCATGTCAGAGTCTGCGCCTGGCAGTAGCCCGTTGGAGGGCTGGACGCGGTCGACAGGATTCAAACCTATGCGGGAGATCCCATCTGATTTCGAGTCAGACCCCTTAACCACTCGGGCACGACCGCGGACGTGAGGCCTGCCTGAACGGCACGCCGTACAGTACAGGATCGGACGCCGTACAAGCGGGAACAAGGCTCTCCAAGTCATGCGGGGCTTGGTAGCCCAACTACGCAACCACACAACACACAGCAACAGTGTTTGTGGTAATCTGTATATCTGTGTGTGCACAAGGACTGTGTGTGTTCAAGAAAATATGCGGACGACCCTTGCATGTGCGTCGCATCCTGCCGACCTAGGTGGTGAAATGCAGCAAGTGAATTCTGGGCGGCCCGGTTGCAACTGGCCCAGCAACTGCCAACGAATGGTTGATGAGCAGCGAGTGTAGGTGCCTGCCTTGGCCTTGTTTACACTCCCTTCGCTTTCCTGTCTGTTTTGGGCTACATGTGTCTAAATGTTGAGGCTTGAAAGGAGAGTTCTCGTTTCAGGGGAGTACATGTCCACGGGCCATGGCATGGCTACACTGCTTGGCAAGCAGCTTGCAGAACGGATGACTGTGGAGCGCATGAGCACGCATCTGCTGGCTGGCTTGGCGGTGGGGGTACGTCTGTGTGTGTGTGTGTGTGTGAGTCTGTTTTGGGACATGTGTGTCTTGCTCCTCCACCAGTTCGCCCTTCCCAACGACGATGGCGTCCTGGGCGAACCCTTTTGCAGCACAAGTGCAATTTCTGCCACTCGCACCTACCTCCATGCTCCTTGACAGAATCGAAGATCAGTCCCATGTCAGCGTGTATTGCTTTCTTGCTTGTATAAGCGCTTTGCCGCGCTGCTCAGCAAGTAAAACTGTTTCCATGCACTGCCGCCTGGGCCGCTACGGATTCAGCGCTCCATGTCTGTGCATGTCAGAGTCTGCGCCTGGCAGTAGCCCGTTGGAGGGCTGGACGCGGTCGACAGGATTCAAACCTATGCGGGAGATCCCATCTGATTTCGAGTCAGACCCCTTAACCACTCGGGCACGACCGCGGACGTGAGGCCTGCCTGAACGGCACGCCGTACAGTACAGGATCGGACGCCGTACAAGCGGGAACAAGGCTCTCCAAGTCATGCGGGGCTTGGTAGCCCAACTACGCAACCACACAACACACAGCAACAGTGTTTGTGGTAATCTGTATATCTGTGTGTGCACAAGGACTGTGTGTGTTCAAGAAAATATGCGGACGACCCTTGCATGTGCGTCGCATCCTGCCGACCTAGGTGGTGAAATGCAGCAAGTGAATTCTGGGCGGCCCGGTTGCAACTGGCCCAGCAACTGCCAACGAATGGTTGATGAGCAGCGAGTGTAGGTGCCTGCCTTGGCCTTGTTTACACTCCCTTCGCTTTCCTGTCTGTTTTGGGCTACATGTGTCTAAATGTTGAGGCTTGAAAGGAGAGTTCTCGTTTCAGGGGAGTACATGTCCACGGGCCATGGCATGGCTACACTGCTTGGCAAGCAGCTTGCAGAACGGATGACTGTGGAGCGCATGAGCACGCATCTGCTGGCTTGCTTGGCGGTGGAGGTGCTGTGGTCCGCACGTTAGGCAGTATCGTGCGCCTGTGCGCCTACACCCTTCTCCAGGAGAAATTTGCACCCTATCGAGACGAAATTGAGTTGAATATTCACGTCAAAATGTTTACAAAGTAGGCTTGTTCCTGGAGTGTGGTGGCGGCTGGTCCGTCTGCTGCACAGTATGCAGTGATGATTCTGGTCGGCGCCAGTCACAGCCATGGCTCCAAGAACACTACCCAACAATGTACCGAGCACCATGCCAGCCACCACGCCCACTGCCACACCACTGGTCGCTGTGCCATGCACCATGCTGGCCGCGGCACAACTCGCAACACTTGTCACTGCCGGGGGCACTGCCACTTCCACAGTGACGCAAACACAGTCCAGGGGTACCTACGTACCTACCTATCTACCTATGTACCTATCTGACTAACTACCCCCCGACCTACCTACCTGCCTACCTACCTGCCTGCCTGCCTGCTTGCCTTCCTGCCTGCCTCCCTGCCTGCCTGCCTGCTGCCTGCTTTTGCCTGCCTCCCTGACTGACCGACTGACTTCGTACCCGTCGAGCCCTGCATAGATTCGCTGCTGTATGCTGTTATTTGTCTCCCTCCCCATGCGTCCACAGGTCATGCATAGACAGTGCGACATGGATACAGTCGTATCCGGGATCCCTGCATACAGACGCCCTTGCACCACTCAATAACGGTAGCTGTGGCAATCCTATTGATAATGTGCAATAATTTCTTATAACGAATTTTTAAGAATACAAATAATTTGATGGTGGGCTCAAGGGCTTCCCCTGGGATGGAAATCACATCGCGCGGCACCATTTCCGCTTCATTAACTGGTTAGGAAAGGAAGAATGCGAAAACCCCGGGGCAATACATCCCGGCTTTTACGCATTACTCCAGGACCATTAACCCTGGCGTATACGAACGGGGACAAGCGATGTACGTGCTGGGAGTTGATCTTGGCCACCAGTATTTTTTGTTCACGGCGTTATGCACCTAAAACCCTAAGCCCCTATCCATGTTGCCTTGGCTTCTGACAACGTCCCCTGGCATGTGGTCAGAAATCTTGGGCTCCCCACTAACCGTGGCGGCACACGGCCACCAACGAGCCGGTGGGGGACTGAAACCCTACTGGAAAGCTGGGCTGTCCAAGCTGCCGGCCCAAGCCATATGTGTCCCGACGCATATTCAAACTCGCAATCTAGGGATCACGAACTCTCTTCCCTTAGGTACGGCTTTTGCAGCAATGCTCTATGTTTCCTATTCGCTATTGCCGCCGGCGCTCCCTATAGCTGCCATAGGTACTTGCGACTGCAGCAGGGTCCCGACGCCGCTGTGGTGGCTGCAACTGCATGCTTGGCCGCCGCCGTTACCGCTGCTGTCTGTGTGAGTAGCAAGCGTCCCGATAGCCGCGCCCATGCTGCTGCTGGCCCTTAGCCGTCGCTTCCGTACCGACATCAACGAGTGTCTCCGGCGCCGGCGAAGAAGATGTTCACGGAGCTCGTCCATTGCCAGGGCGCCGCCAGGGGAGTCGGCACAGCGAGATCCTACGCCATCAACACCAATGCTGCCGTGGCTGGCGTTCACGTACTTGCCGACCCCCAGCATATTACCACCGCCGCCACCGCTGTTCTTGACGGGGGCATCACCGCTTGTGACGTCCTCAAGCATGGATGCACGTTGCGCGGTTACTGGAGCCACAAACAGCAAGGGGCTGTGCTGCTGGCGAGGCAGTATAGGCCCTGTAGTAGTCTGCATCGATGGCGGCAGTGACGGCGATGGCTTGGTGGCGGAGCTCCTGCTGCCGAACCGACTTAGCCCGGCAACGTCGCTTTTGTCGCCGGCATCAACGGTGATGACGCTGCCATCGGCTGATGTCATGGAGCCGAAGCCGTTGCCGCTGATGCCACCATAACCGCCCCCAACGATACCCATTCGACTAATGGCCCTGGCAAGGCGCGGCAGGAAGGAGGAGGAGGGCAGGCCTGAAATAGAACTTGTGGACCCAATGAAGCTGCTGCCGCCAATGACCCTACCGACCCCGATGCCACTACCCCCACCTAAGCCGCCGCCACAGCCAGGGGTAAGGGCAGTCGCGGCGGTGGGCACAGCAATACTCATTGAGCTGCCGATACCAATACCGATTCTCCCCCCGCTGGCGGGTGGCGAAACTGGTGTGGCCGATACTGTCCCACTGGACATGCTCCGACTCCTGGCACGGCGACTGCCAATGAGCCGGCTGCTGCCGTGCGTCGTGAGCTGCATGGCTCGGTCGTGCTTGCGGACCGTGTCAATCTTGTGGCGCATCATTAGCACGAAGACCTTCATTCATAACAGCCGTATACAACAATTCAGTCAGGGGTCCTACATTAAACATGAGGCTATTGGTAATCCCCCGTATAAGCACATCAGCAGTAAATGCATGGGCAGTCGAGTTAATGGCTAAGGACAGAAGCACCGAGCCAATGGATGGTTTCGGAGAGAGTTTCCAGGATTGCATTCCGCGCCGCTAAGTTAGGTACGCCGCTCGAAGGGTAACTTCCAGCAGAGAAAATATGCCTTCCTAGAGAGATGGGGCTGGATTATGACCACCGTGGGATGAGCACCAGGGACAGCCGTAGTCTGGTGCGGCGTGATATGGTAGTGCCAGATCTAGCACCACCAAAACTCACGCTTGGTACGCTTTACGACACCCAAGCGACACAACAGCTTTCCAAGCCGAAGGCAGGAAATATCGGCTTCCGTTGGAGCGGACCGCCTTATTGATATATACGTGTGTGTTTATATATACGTACGAGCAATCCACTGAGAAGCCGGCTAGGGTGACTTGATGAGGGTGCCCCGAAATACCGGGGAAGGCAGGGTCTGCTAGGTTGCGGCCGCAGGGTGAAGACATGACCCCCCTGTCCCACATATCAATTACACGCATGGGGACAAGCTTGCAGCGAGACGTTCAGGAGGAGCGCGAGTGGATGGATGGACCTCCGGATAACACGTTCCGATGATAGGGGAGGGTCTAAGGACCCCAATCCTACATGCAACAGTGAAGCCACAACCGCGTCGATCCCCAAGACACCCACACCCACACCAACGCCCGCACAGCCCCCCTGCCTCCCACGACTTCGGAGCTCACTCCATTTCCCGCTGGGTTCACTGGCTGCCATTTCCTAAACCCTCCCGCGCTCTCTCACCCTCAACGTGATGACCATCCTCAGAAGGTCCACGAAATTGTTAGTCTTGAGCAGTCCTTCCAGCTGGGCATTGTCGATGAAGTTGTCCACCACTACCGCAATAACCAGGTTGAGCATGATGAATATGGCAACGAGCACGAAGCTATGTACAGTGGGCACGTGGGCAACAGCGTGGCAATCGTAAGCTGGAGAATATGAAAACTATGGTCGGGGGGGGGGGTCGCCATGAAGGGTGGGTGGAGGGGAGGTCTTAGGAGGTTGTTGAGCCGTTGAAGGGCCCGAAGCTATGCAAGCGCGAGGTTGGCAAACTGGGTTTGGGTGGGTGTGGGTGGATGTATGGGAACGTGTTGTCGAGGGGTTGTCGAGGGACGTTTTGAGGCGTTCTTCATGTGAGACATAAGCTGTGGTGCTTCCAGGCCCTGAGGCACGCGGAATTGCCACCTGACTTGCAAGCCCACACGCTCAGTACAGATACACGATGCATACACGCCGGCTCTACACATACCTCCAGATGCACAGTCCTAATTCACATGCAAAAGTGTCTGCACGAGCATACACACACAGCGACTACCTCTTCTGTTGCTACTGTCGTACTACATCATTGCTTATCCACGATCGAAAGGCAACTAACGAACCGTACCGCAACCTCAGCGCTTCCGGGGAAGGGTTCCCAGCTTGTGTTGCCAGGACATTCTGCCTATCTGTTGCATGGCACATATCCTGACCACATAGCCCCCTGCTTATCTGCTAGCGTAGCCGAGGCTTAGACCCTTCGCTTCATAAAATTACGTCTCGCTTCTTTGTAGCCCCAATGAGTGGTGTGTGTAGCTCGTATCCGCCCACAACAGCCGCCGCCTACTGGTTGGACATCGCTGTGCTAGTTTGGTAATTACCTGCCACTGGAATCTGCAGTTAACCCCCACAACCTCTCGGAACTAGCTTTGGGCTCCGTTTCTTTCGGTTGGTCTACAGATTCATACGTAAGAGCTGGTGACATTGGATCGTTGTTAATGCTTGCTTCTTGCGGCTCCCTTGGTTCAGAGAAGCACATATGTGTGATAGCATCGACGGAGCTCAACTTCTCTCTAGATGCACAGACATGCTGTCCTTCACGAGTGTCAGGGTCTTCAAAACAGCGTCAACGCCTGCTCCTTCCCAACACGTAACCACCTGCAGAAGAACATCGCTGCCGCAAGCGCCGATGGCCCCGTGTCGCACTGGTACTGGTTGGCGTTACAGTTCATTCCGGTCGCCATCAGGTCGCCCCAGCCATCCCCAGTGAACAAACGGAACTGGGTAGCCATGGCGGCACCGATGTTGTTGTAGGTGGCCTGCACATTACCAACGCGAGAGGTACTTGGTGGTTGTGCTCGTGGGGGTTGGGGTGGGGTTGAGCGGGGAGAAACAAACCGTGGAGGGGTCAGAGTAAGGGAAGAGAAGGAAAGGAAACAGAAAATGTGCAACCAGAAATCTGGACCAGGACAACATAGCCCGTCTGCGAGCTTAACCCCGGGGTGTTTAAGGATTTACGGCGGCGAAAGTGGAGGCAGTACGGGAAGGCAGTACGGGAAAGGGCATGGCATTGCTAATTGTCTTGGGGCTGACTGACATATTGCATCGTTCCTTCCCTCACCGCTCTGCATGCCAGCACAGCCACACGCGGCCCAATCCAACCATTTTCCATGATCACGTTCCACGGGCCCCTGCCCAAGGCCCCCGGTGCCCCCGGCAACCCGTTGCTCACATGTGATCCGGGCTGGTCGAATGCGCTGCCATAATTGCCGTACATGTTCATCCCTATAACAGCGTATATGTACATGATGAGCAGCAGCAGTGACCCCACATTGGCTATGGCAGGAGAGGAGGAGATGAGCGTATTAAAGAGGGTACGCAGACCGCGCGCGCTCTTGATCAACTTGAACATGCGGAATACCCTGAGGCAGCGTGTGGAGGCGGGGGCCACGGGAGGGCGCATGGGGCGTTGTATAGAGTCGCAGGAGGAAAACGAGGCGAGCAACCCACCATGCACCACATGACTCCAAGCCCTCGTGCTGTGATCAGTGAATGTATCCTAACCTGGCTAACCGGCGCCAAACCTAGCTCTGCAGCTCAGCCAATGTTGCTCAACTTTGTTGCATGATATCCCCCTCTCTACCGCTCTCCATTTGCCCTTGTGCTCTGTTTCATCGCTCCCCCAGGTGGCAGCGCGGCTGCCACTTGCCACTCCCCTTTGCATAATAGCTATTGTACATTATGGCACATATAACCATACAAACACGTGCTAAAGCGCATTCCTCGCATCTCGAGAGGCTCTTCCGGAGACCGGCTACTACAAATGATGCCCAAAGCCTAGGATCACCTTATCGAGCCTTGCTGACTGCAGTGAGGCTGCATGAGTATACAAAAACAAAGTTCACGGTCCTAAGAACCATGTATTTATAAGCAGCCTCTGTGCCTGAAAGACGGCTAGGGGCATGTGAGGCAGCACATGGTCTGTCACCCCCTGCCCAAGGGAAGGCGGAGATAGGCACAGGATAGTATCATAGCCATGCGGGGCCCAGATGGTTACCTGTCATCCAGTACGGCACACACTACCATTACGAAGACGCCCTAACGCGCACTCCCAGGATCCCAAAAAGCCTTTTCGGCGGCCAGCTGCTTTATCGGGTCATTATATCTACCAGTAGTTAATACCTGTCCTCGTTAAATGCTCACTCGGGCAGTGGCAATTAAGCCGTGTTTAGGTCGCCGCCCGGAGTTTAGTACACCTAGATGCTGGATCCTCCCGCTCTCACTCCCCGCTCTCTCTACCCATCTTGCTCACCTCAACAGTCGCAGCACTGTCACAAATCCCGTTGCTGCGCTCATGGGTGTGAATGTGGACATGATGTCCGGGATTGACACGGCGATGATGAACAGGTCCAGCTTGTTCCAATGGTCCTGGGGACCCGGGGCCGGTGAAGGGGGCGGATGAATGAGGAAGCCGGCGGGGTCCCGACAGGCGGGAGGCAGATGCATCTTCATTCGCTTCTTCGACAACGTGGCCCCTCATCTATTTTGCCTTCTTTGTTTCTCTACCCTTGCTTCCCAAGCCAGACAACACCTCTTGACTGGCCAGCCTGTTGTTCCCACCGTAGCTGCTCGCCTCCATGCATCTACAACTACCCTGACGGCCCATCCTCGTGCCGGGTTCTTGTGGCTTGGTCACAATACTTAGGTCTTCGTTGTCTTACTTCCCCGAAGGGGGACGAAGGGGGACAACAAACATAAGTGAACTTCGGCATATACAACGATCCGGCCTAAGGCAGTGGGAGACATCCAGCACGGTTCCCTGCTTCACCCACCCTGATGTACTTCCTGGGGCCCAGCGCAACCATTTTGAACCAGGCCTCCACCGCAAAACCACACGTGCAAGCCACGTTGACCAGCCCCAGAGCCACGTCGTACGCCCGCGGAGTATTGTCGTACACCGCCGCCATGGCCACAATGTTGATGACGATGTTGGCAGTCACGGCGGCATCGAAGCGCGGGTGGGAAGCTATCTGGAAAGAGGACAAGCGGATCCATAAGAAGTTGCAGAGCACCTCGTAAAAAATGTGCAGTTTACTCCAGGACCATTAAGCCCAGCATATACGAAGGGAGACCAGCGATGTACGGATTGGGATTAGCTGCTAGTCACCAAGCAATTTATTTTCGCAGGTATGCCTCCGCCTGCGGGCCCTATTCGTGTTGGCAGTGTCCCCAAACCGTCCACCGGCACATATGTCAGGAATCAAGCCTTACGGTGCACATCTTGGGCTCCTCACTAACCGTGGCGGCACACTTTCCCCGGGCCGGTGGGGGACGAGCCGGTGGGGGACTGAGACCCTACTGGAAAGCTGGGCTGTCCAAGCTGCCGGCCCAAGCCATTTGTGTCCCGACCCGGATTCAAACCGATCAGGTGCCCTCTGGAGTATCGCGCAAGCTACGTAGGGGTTTTAGGGTTGGTATGGCCTATCCAGGACATAAGGCATGCAGTTGGCTAGGATCCCCGGGACAGAGAAGGGGTTGAGGGGTGTGTGTGTATGTATGTTTGTAGGGCGGCGGTCCAGATCCCCACGAAAGTGGGGAACAGATAAAAATAAAAAAGTGTCAGACCTGGGTATAGACAAGGGATTATACAGGGCAGAGCGAAAACGTACGGACTAAACAAAAACCGTTTCAACCACGGATATCCAAGCCTCACATCCGCAGTAACGCATGGGTTAGGGGGGAAAAGCACAAGTGAATGTGAAGGAATTGGTCAGCAGATGAGGCAGAGGGGCAGCGGATGAGCCAGTGCTCCCGAAGGGAGGTGCGTCGGTGGTGGTGATGTTGAAACGTCTGAGGGTGCCCCCCTTCCGCTACCTTCCAGCAGAACCTCCTGAGCCGGGAGGCCTCTGGTGGGCAGCCCCCTTTCCACAGGTCCTTGCCGTTGCGTTCAAACTGAAAGATTCGGATGTACTCCTTGGCCTGCGAGGAACGGCCGGTGGGATGAGGGCAAGGCCAATCTTCCCTTAGCAGGGAGAAGAGACATGAGGAGAAGAGACGGCATGTCCTTGTTTAAAGGAGCCTTGAAGTTTTGCTGCTTTAGTGTCGGTGCTTGGCCCTTCTTCCTCTGTATGCCATGGCTACGGTAAATTCACATGTACACACAAGCGATGACCTTTGCTTGGCCTGGCTGGGTCTGCCGTATGAATGGGCCTTTATCAACACATACCGGGTTTTTGCGGTCTGGCCCCTGGGGGCAGGTCAGTGCCAGGCCCGATTACGCACAGTATGACGTGTGAAACAGGGGGATATATCTTCACCCGTGGCAGCTACCATGCGAAACCTGCCTTTCCCGGTATTTCGGGGCACCCCCATCCAGTCACCCTAGTCAACTTCTTAGTGGATCGCTCAGGTTCCGCACCCACCACCAGCATCCAACGGAATCTGCCGGGTCGACAGCGCCCCAACTCCATTCCTGGTCGGCTCGCAGGTTAAATTTATCCCAGGTCACCACCGTCCATCAACTAGGGCGCAAAACCTTCCGCCATCGGAAGGAATTTCGACCCTAACAGGTCTCGATCCCGGGATCTCCCGGGGGCAATGGTCGCGCGTTATCAGTAGAGCCTAACCTAACATGTTACACGCACAGTATGACGTACATGTGTGCGAGCCGATACCCGCACGGAGGCGGGTCGATTCGGCAACTCTCTTTCTTCCGAGCAATACACGCACCCCGTGTGGTGCTGGTTGGTATGACCAGAGCGGGCCCAACGACCTGAGGGCTCAAACGCCGATACGTGCCTAGCCTTACAGCCAAACATGTTTGTTTCACTAATGCGTTTTGTCCTTATGTCCTCACCTTGCTGCCCTTCCATTCCACTATGCGAGCGCTGGGCGTCAACAGAACACCGTACCATGTATTCGGCTTGGGCCCTGTCGGAATCTGTCTGTAGCAGCTGGCCGCTGAAAAGGCCTCTACATATGCTGGCGGGGCGCCTTAGCGTGTAGTCATCGACGAAATGTGTAGCGTACTATCTACAGCTACTAAAGAATTCCTTTTCACCTTCGTGGCCACATTGCCTAACCTAGCACGCCGCGGAAATAACACACACAGGGGCGTACACACCTGCTTGCTGACCAGCAGATCCCCCTCCTCCGCCACAATGCGCGCGTAGTGGTCGATAATGACTGACACCAGCAGGTTCACCAGGAAGAACGACCCCAGGAAAATGAACGCCAACACATATAGGCCCATGTAGGGGGCGTGGTTCTCCTGGAAGGAGGTGGACATACATAAGGGTGTACTGCTGTGTCAATATGCGAGAGACTGCAACTTTATGAGCGGGTGTTGGAAGTGGGATAGCGCAGAGATGCAGATGGAGGTGCGGATAGTTGCAGCGGTCATACTATCGATAAACAAATGACACCTAAGTCCTGGATTGAAGTGGTGTGCAACTTTAAGCTCAAGATTTAGATAAAACAGCGCCTCAAGTAGCGTAACTCTGCGCTAATGCCTCCTCTTGCTTGCCGCCTGCCTGCTGACGTAAAGAGATATTTCTACTTGCTTTCAACTCCAGGAGGAGCCCTCCTTTCCCTTTTACCCAACCCAAACCTCCCCGGAACCTCTCACACAGACCCAACCCCCCACGTCCCCGCCACACGCACAACCGCACCCACCTGCGGCACCTGGTCCACACCCACAGCATCCATGCAACTGCGAGCAACCTGCGGGCGGGATACCCCGGAACAAACCAACACATCGACACATATGGGGGGTACAGCCGAGGGTCAAACAGGATAGAAGTGGAGGCTATGGCACCACGACGGACAGGATGGCAGGGGGCTGGGACACATCTCAAAACAAGTTGACACAAAGTAAAACACATCCTTTCAGGGAAAAGCCGCGTCGCCGTCAGCACTCCAGGAACGCTTTGACCTGCATGCAATAGCCTATGAAGCCGCGCTGCATAAAAATGGGGTATTTTCTTTTCTTTACGTGCACATCCACACCGCCAGAAGCAACGGGAACACCGCCCGTCAGTTCCAGCTACTTTCACTTCGCGCACCACTGACACAAACACACTCCTCCCCAAGCTCACCACCCACAAAGCCCCCCCTCCTGAGCCTCAAGCTGGGGGCCCCCCTACCAACCCCCCCTCCAAGCCTCTCCCCCCTTCCCCCTCACTCCTCACCATCCCCCCCTCCAAGCCTCTCCCCCCCTTCCCCTCACCCCCCACTTCCCCCAGCGCTCACCTCCATGTAGCCGTCCAGAGTGACCACAGTGAACAGGGTCAGCAAGGCCGAGCCCAGGTGGTCGAAGTTGCGCATAGGAGGTCCCCACCACCTCACCGCCTCGGCCCCCGCCTCGGGGCACAGGTCGTAGTCGCCGCACACGTAGGTCACACCTTGGATGCACTGCGCTCCGGAACGGGGCAAACCGGGTGCGCCTTAGAGCGCTGACAACGGCGGAGAAAGGGTTTGGAGAAGAGCGGAACCACTGACTTGATAAGCATGATGACAAAACCCCGCCAAACGAACAGAACATAACTTCCCAAATTTGGGACGAGAGTGGAAAGGGCGATGGCAGAAGGGCGCATAAGGAAAGTAAGGGCAACTGCATGCATGGAAAGGAGGTGGGTGGGTCAGGCCTTATCCACATCGGGGATTTGGAGCGCAGCTGTTTTGCCATGGAAATACGGGACGAATGGGCCGGGCGGTGTAAGGAGAGGCGAGGCGATATGAGGCGACATGGCCACAGTGCATATGCAGAGGACCGGGGTAGAGGTCATGATCCTGCAATGCAAGTTTCTAAGATGTTGAGGTGCCGTGTTTCATTTGACTGTCTGTCAGTCCGTATGTCTGCGTGTTCATCTGTCTACCTGCCTGTTACATGTAAACCCAACTTGTCTTTTCGCGATTATGTGCGGTCGCCACTAACACCAACACCAACACCAACACCAACACCAACACCAACACCAACACCAACACCAACACCAACACCAACACCAACACCAACACCAACACCAACACCAACACCAACACCAACACCAACACCAACACCAACACCAACACCAACACCAACACCAACACCAACACCAACACCAACACCAACACCAACACCAACACCAACACCAACACCAACACCAACACCAACACCAACACCAACACCAACACCAACACCAACACCAACACCAACACCAACACTAACAACACACCTCCTTGGTTTCCTTTTTTGGGCGGGGCCCCAGCGCGAAGCGCCCAGGGGGGCCCCGACCTGTAGGATTGCCCATGTCCGTGTGTGTGTGTGTGCGTGTGTTCGTGTGTGTGTAACGGACCAAACATAATATCTCGGCCGGCTGAAACGCGCTATAGGTACTATACAGCATTCTCTATTGCAAGGTATCTCGCATGTAGCTAACAAAGACCGTATGAGCACAAACAAGTTTAGCTGCCTCCATTCACCGACCTCAAAAGTCACATCAACGCCTCTCGCGCTAAATTTCAGCCCGAAAGGTACCGCGTGTAACAAAGCAAAGGCGTAACCCGGGATGCTCAGTTGGGCCTTGCGTCGTTACACCGCGTCATCTCATAATGGAATTCTGAGATGACGGCGTATGATAACTCGAACACCCAGCTTGTGTTACCATTTGCCGGCATGGGCAATCCGACTTGCCACCAGCAGGCCAACATAATTTGCTTTCATTTCTCTATGAAATACACAAGCTGCTTGTTTGTACATATACTTTGGCCAATGCACGGGGCCTCCGAAGAGTTGCGGTGTGCCCCGCGGCTGTGGGACGGATCGGGGGGCGCTTCGGGGATAAACATCACAGACAGCACCGAAATTCACCCAGCTTTCGTTACCATTTGCCTGCACGGGCATTCCGACTTGCGGTCTGCCGCACTGTCCATGCGGCATGCATCTGGGATGGATGCGATTCGCGTGAAGCCCGCAGGCGGTGCTGACGATTCCGCCGGTGCAAGCTTAGCTCTCACACCATCAGCACTGCTGCAACAAAGCACATCTCCCACCGCGTTGACACTACCCATCAATTGTTACACGTGCCGCGCTAGCTACCGGCCTGTACGGATGCAGGGGGGCCCCGCCCTTTTTCCGGCTTCGAGGAAGCCGAAACCCGACTTGTCCTACCTGTTCCACCAGGCCCCCTAGCAGTCGCCAACCTCAACCCCAACCCCTCTGCTGGGGCTCAATGTGGTTGCCATTCGGAATCTACGTATTTCCGCTGCTTGCACTAAACCATACACGATACGGTAAATCCGCGCTTCTACAGCCCAGACCCCTACCCCTATCTCGCTCCCCGCTCCCTACCTGCGCACGGTTCATGACCCGTGTGCCGTTTATGACGGGCTGGCTGCACACCGACATCTTGCCTGAGAACAGCTGCACTCCCAGGATGCCGAACAGCCCAAACTGGAACACACCGAACAGCAGCACCTCGAATAGGTTGGGCAGGCTGCGAATGAGAGTCTCAACCACACGACGCATGCCGCGCAACCTACGGGCAATGGTTGTGCGTGGGAAGGCGAGAAAGGGAAACGGGACGCACATATAAGCAAGCAGCAGCCGGGGGTGGAGAGAGCGGAAAGAGACATTACCAGTTGGGGAGAGAGGGAGAGCGGGAGAAGGGAAGAGGGGGAGAGCGGGAGAGGGGAGAAGGGGAGAGGGGGGAAGGGGAAGGCAGTTGTGTGGATGTCCTTGGTCCACGTGGTGCTCGCTGTAAGCTTTCGCAGCGATGGTTGCGACAAGAGATGGGGACGCAACACGTGGAGAATAACTAGCAATCGTAGCACACGGTACGGCACAGTACGGCATATCCACACTCAAGCGCGCCCCTGTACAGCCGTAGGTGCCCCTGCGCAGGCCTAGACGCACCTGCGCATCAGTCGCAGTGGTCGCAGTGTGCGTACCAGCCGCACGCTCTTGAGCGCGCCATTGTTGTTCCCCCCTCCATCTGCACCCGCGTGTGTGGCGCCCAGCCCCAAGCTGAGCAGCGATGTGGCCACAATCACGAAGTCCAGTACATCCCAGCCGTTTCGTAGGTATGCATGAGGGTGCAGCACCAGCCCCTTGGCAGTTATCCTGACAACCATCTCTAAGGTGAACACAACCTGCGGAAAAGCAAGGGAAAGCTTTTAGTCACTTCACTTTTAGTCAATTCATTTTTAGTCGCCGCAGCATTTCCTCTCAGTCGCGATTGCTCCTCCTAGCGTGCGGTAACCGCCTGAAGTTACTCGCAGCTTCTGGCGGTTAAGATCCAAGATTCTTTCTAATCGCAGTTAAGGCATGCGCTCAAGACATGTAATTGCCCCTGTTGAAAAAACAAGCAGCTAGCAGAAAAACAGCTATTGCACCCACCCACCCTGACCCGTGTGATATGGTTGTTGTTACGGGAGAGAGGGGGGATTAATTCCCTGTACAGAATTGGGCGACCAGGGCCATCGCAAGAGGGCGGCCGACAGCGGGATGGCGTGGGGACTTGCGGACCTGTGCAGTGTCATGTAGCCGTACATACCGTGAAAATGAGATCCAAGATCGAGACTGCTCGGCCCAGCGGCGAGGACTCGTCCAGACGGGGGGAGTCGACGGCAAGGATGGCTGAGGAGGCCAAGATGACCGCCATGATGCCGTACTAGTAGTAATGTACGGAAAGCGCCATAAGAAACCAATGGAGGCCACGACATGGTCAGGGGTCTCAGTGTTGCGGCATCAAGATTAATGACTCTAGGGCTATTACAGCGAAGGGAATGTGGAGGGGCAGAAAGGGGATGTACGGCAAAAAAGGAGAGAAAGGGCGCAACGCCTGGCTGACTGTATTCCGTTGCCGCAGGGTCCGGTTGTTGGCCTGTTCTGGGGGAAAACTGTCGCGGAATAGGTCCGCAGCAGGCCACCGGGCCATCCGCCAATCCATCGCTTCTACCAGGTATTGGCAAATCCTACCCCTCCGCTTTCACAAGGGTAGTACTACTGGGCGCTGCCCCCCGTGCACTTCAGAGTAAGCCAAAGAAGGCTGACGCGACGCAGGTCCTATCTCCTTAGCCGAACTTTTCCTGCGGAGGCGTGTCTGGTCTCTTTTTCGGCCTTTAGCCTTTTGCGAGCGAGTGCCAGCTAGGACAGGCGTCCAGAACGCCGTTTCCAAAATCCAAATGCGAGCCGCCGATTATTACTCAAGTTTCCAACCAAAACGGGCTGAGCTTCCTTGACTGGTCGAAAGCGCAGTCTGGAACTCCGTACATTGGATTTGTGACAGTCGCGGAGGAAGAGAAGGCTGGCAACATTAGAACTGGTGCTGACGATTTCCTGGCCCCTCCCGAAATGGCTTCCCTTCTTGGCACGCATCCGGAACATCTGAAAGGGCAGGACTTAACACCCACAGCACCGACAATACGCGGTAATCGTCACGCAAACCAGCACTTAACCCTCCCTTCGCGGCGTCCGGACCCGGCTTCCGCTCTTCCTTATACGTCCCACCTCAACTTACATCGAACCAGGGGTGCAGGATAATGCTGGACGCGACCTGCCGTACACAGCTGTCGCCTTCGATGCAGCAAAACGCGGGATACTCCAGGTACGGTGCAGGGTCCCCCCAGGTGTTATAACCGTAGACCGACTCCATACCCTTGTTGCTGCTGCCACCGCTGCTGTCGTGGTCATCGACGCCGCCGCCGTCGCGGCCGTCATAGTGCCGATGGTCGGTGTGGCGAGGAGAACCGATTACCAATGCCGGCGGCCTAATTGCAGCTGCATTGGCCACGACGACACCGTCACCACCGGCAACACCACCACCGTCGTCGTCTTCCGCACCACCGCCGTCACCGCCAGCTACCTCCGTCGTCTTCACCTCCACATCTATCTCATTGGCGGCGCCGTCTCCGCTCACATTCCTCCGAACCGCCTCCGAACTGTCAGGTGAACGCAGGCCATCCATTTGGGAGGCGACGCCAAGACGGGACCGAACGGCGCCGCCGCCGTCCGTCCCTCCTCCAGCCGCACCCGTCAGCCGGCCAGAGGATGTCAGCACACGGGCGCTGCCACTGCCATTGCCACTGCCACCGTCACTTCCAACGCCGCCATCCTCCACCTCCAGAACAAGAGGCCGACCGGACTGGCGTTCCCGGCGGGAGCGGGAAGCGCTGATCAGCTGCAAGGGTGCTGCATAGCCGGAAGTGGCGGTGGGGGGGAGCGGGGCGGGAAAGCAAGAGGGTAAAGGGACGCACGTCAGCCTTCATACCGTGTTTAAGAAACCGCAGTCAGAAGGCCCGGGCTTCCAAGTCCTGCGGCTCAGTTGCGCAGCGCGCCTTGTTGCAGACAGCGGCAATGGCCATCAGCCGCAGCAGAGCGGGATGGAGTGCCCGCTCAACCCAAAAGCGCCCATAAGCGCCAAGGGCAGTCAGCAGCAACGTTAACGCAGACTGTCACTGCGCTTTCCGGCCACCGGCCCTCTCCAGAGCTGATTGAAACAAGAACACAGCTCTTCAACATTTGTACTGGAGATGCGAACGCCGGTGTCATCAGCCAGGGTGTCAGTAGCTTACAAAGTAACAAGTTACAAGTTGCAAGTGCCGCACGAGTGCGGGGGGGGTCCGTCAAAGCCGTCAGGCCATGGACTAGTAACGCACTGGGGGGCCGTAAGGATTCCATCGTCATGCGGACCCTTCCACCAACCTTGCGCGCAGGTACCGGGGCCTGGGATGTGTTTATCCTCCCTGCATATTCCATACCTAAACAACCCATAAACATGTCGCGCGCAACAACAGGTCGTATGACCGCAGGTTGTTCCAACACCGAAAGCAAAGGCGAAGACTGTACTGCACCGGCTCGAACACACCTAAGTCTTTATCTCTTCTTTATCATCCCGGCAAACCCCACCACACTCACCAAAGAGCGCCTGCTCCATCTCAGCGGCGTTGCATGGACCATGCGCACGAGCCCACGCCACGCTCCACTTCTCCACGCCGCCCGTTCCGTTGGCGCCGCTGCCGCCAACGACACCGGATCCAGAGAACCTAGTCGCCGCCGCCGCGGAGGCCGCGGCAAGGCGTTCCGCTCTGGAGCTGTGGTGGCGACTGGACGCGCTGTGCATGAGACGTCGCTGCGGCGGCGCCCGCCGCTCCGTCGGCGGCGGCGACCGTGGCAACGCTTGTAGCAGCAGCAGAGGCAGCGGCGGACGCCGCTGCTGCTGCGGCGGCGGCGTGCGCGCATCTGTGCCACTGATGACGGAATCCTCGCGTGCGGCAAGGGAGAGGGAGGGGCGCAAGCTCCTTCGCGAAACGCCCCGTACGCCACCTGCAGGGCGTCGCTCCATCGGCGAATCGGATCCCGCTAACGTCGCCGTGGCTGCCACTGCAGCCGCGGCGGCGGCGACAGATCGGCTGGCGCTACTGGCTGCGGCGCTGAAGGTTCGCAAAAAGCGTCGCTGCGGTATGCCAATGGTTGACGAAACCAGGGAGGGGGACACAGGTGCGCCAGCCGAGCCGGCGCCGGCATCAGCGTGAGGATCTGCATCGCCCGCCACGCCGAGTCGCCCGGCTGAGGCCGAGTCTGAGGCCGAGTCGCCCGGCGGCTGTGAAAACCGCGACTGCAGGCCCTCACACAGCGGTCCGGGCAGTGTCCGGAGCCCGACTTCACCGCCGCGTCCAACACTGTCGCAGCCGATGCGAATCCTGCTGACATGCCTGCATTGCCTGCACGCGGCGCATTCTCCGCCGACTTCAGCATCAGGACCAGGGCTGTCGCTGCTGCTGCGAAGTGAAGCCGGTGGGCGAGGGTACCGCACCTTCGCCAAAGGCCCACTACCGATGTCGACGCCATCACCATCTCCGTCGCTACAGGCTGTAGCAGCATCGACACGGTGTACGGACAGCCGGAACAAGGTTCGCAGGAGACGCTTTGCTGCACTGGCGCCGTTGGCCGTCCGTGGCTTGGCGACTACCGCACAAGTGTCACAGGTGCCGATACTGGAGCAATCGCCTCTGGCGGCGCTGCTGCCGCCACAGCCATGGACAGGACTAGCGGTAACGCCGCAGTAACCATGTGCCGGAAGGCAGACGTCCGCCGGGCGCCTCCCACCTGGGCCCATGACCCATGGGTCACCAATGCAGCTGCTGGAGCTTACTCCAACCACGCCCCCATCCGCAACAGCCGACAGCCCATAACCCTCCACTGCCTCAGCCACGGGACCGCGGACGCTAACTCGGTCCAACCCCTCCACCTTTCCAACCACAGCGGTACCTAGTCCGCCGCCGCAGCTGTTGCCTGGTAACCCACCAACGGGGGTCGCTTTCTCCGCAGCAGCAGCTGCTGCTCCATGTTGCATGGTTCCGATAACGGGCATCTCCTTGCTAAAGTAGGCGGGGTCGGCGCCAACAGCGTCAGGCCCACCAGCAACAGCTGGGAAATCATCCACCGGCGACACGATCTCCACCACCGTTGCCCGCAACCGCGATGACGGCGCCGCCTCCTGCTGCTTCCTTCTCCCAGGCTGCAATGCAAGCTCGTCCCTGACAATCGCCGCTGTCTGCGACGCCCTGACGAAGCCCGGCTCCGAGACCGCCTGAGCCAGGGTTGCCGCCTTGCCCAAAGACGCGCGCCGCAAAGAGGGTGCAGCGGCGGGCGGCACCATTGCACCGCTCGGCGATACGCCGCCAGTGCCGTCCCTTCCCGAACCCGCAACCACACCCGTTGCATCGCTGGGGTTGCTGCTGACCACACCGTCTGAGGGTGTTTGAGTCGACCGCCAGGTCGTCGTGCAGTTCTCGCTCCGACCTGACAGGCATTTGGTAAAGGGTGACAGCGCGGTCGCGGCGGAAGCCCTCGGCACCCTAGCTGCCCCCATCATTCCTGCAGGCGGCGGAGCCGGCAGCAGCGCACCGCCGGCAAGCAGCTCAGAGGCGACGCTGCACTCAGCCAACGTGCCTTCTGT